GGACAAGGAAATCATCTAGACCGCCGGCCCGAGGAATGAGCTGCCCTTGTTCCGCCCTGACAGCCGCTCGAGATTCCGGCCGACGGCTCGGGCGCCAAGCAAAAGCTCAGGCTGCTCCGTCGCGCGGCCTGCACTATCGGTCTCCTCTCGCCGAACTCGGCGGGCGCGGAGGCCGCGATGAGGGGCGCTGCTCCAGGCTCCAGGCCCCCGTCCCTCGGGGCCCTGCCGCGGCAGAGCATGTCGCTACAGCCATTTGCGGCCAAGGTTAGGTCTCGATTGTCTCGGCGTTATCCAGCATGTTCAGAGACCGGTTGCCAGACAGTTTCAGGCTCAGCTTCGGGTGTTTGCCTGTTCCCTTTCGCCAGGGGCCCATTCGCCTCTGTCGAAGCACATTTCGATACCACCAGCATGTTCACAGTCATTATTTGTTCCTGTCCACGCCCCTTCATTACGCAGTATGAATACTACGCCCCCCTTTTTCCCTGGACCCTGTCCAGAAGATTGCGCCCCTTTCTGCGCAGTTTTCTCCATGCCGGCTTTCTAGAATTCTGTTATGTCGGTGATTGGTGTTACGACGTGCTCGATTCTTCCAGCGTGTCTACCTGATGTTCCCGCTACGACGCAGGCCTCATGTTAAGATCGGTTGTTGGCCCCCCGTCGTTCAGACTGGCGCTGTCGCCCCAGCGCGCGCGATTTTCTTGATCGACGTAGTTTTTCATCGTTGGGTCCCCTTTATTTTCCTTTCTTCGCCTTCCGTTTGTCACCCTGTCCCCCCTGCCATTTCCACCCCATCTCCTGATACTGCTGTTTGTTATCATCCTTTTCCTTCCTCGTCCTCCTCTGTTTCTTCCTGCCCCTCCTCCTGCTCATCGGCCACCTCCTCCTCTTTCTCCTCCTCCTCCTCCTCCTCCTCTTCCCCCTTTTCCCCCTCCTGCTCCTCCTTGTTCTCCTCCTCATCCTCTTCCTCGTCTTCCTCCTCCAACGTACGCAGTTTTTTTTGTTTCTCCTCCCCGATTGCGCATAACACGACGGGGTCTTCTTTGGAGGTCCGCTGTGACACGCGTCGGCCGATCGAAAACACAAAACAGCACAATGGGAAGGGATTGGTGGGAACGGTATGATGTTTGATATGGCGCGAGTGCACCTAGTTTGTCTTCTTCTTGCTCTCTTTATGTATGTTTTTTGTTTGTTCTTTTTTTTGTTCTCTCTCTCTCTCTCTTTCTGCCCTCCCCCTATCCTCCCTCTTCCCGCCCCCCCCTCCCCAGCCTCCCCCTCCGTTTTCACTCGGTACGCTCTGGTTCGATGATCATTCGCAGTTTAGTCGGACCCAGCGCTCACGCCCGAGATGCCCGAACACATTTTGCAGAGCTGTCTTTGCAAATGTCCCAGGGGCGCTGCTCTTTTCCCAGCGCTGGGTACTTGCTCCTTCGGGCCAGGCGGCGTTTGGACCCCGTGCCGGGGCAGAATTCGACAAGAGGGCAGCAGGCAAACAAAAGAAAAAGGTGTGGCCCGGCCTCGCCTGCTCCTTCCCGCTCGGAGCCCAGAGCTGCGAGGATGTCTCTCGAGCGGAACGGGCGGGACCAGCTCTCGCGCGGCATCAGGGAGCCCACAGTTGCGAGGGGTTCTCGGGCGGGGCGGGCGGGGCCAGCTGCCGCGCGGCATCTCGGAGCCCAAAGTTGCGAGGACGTCCCGGGCGAAACGGGGGGGGACCACCTCGCTCGCGTCATCAGGGGGCCGAGGGTGGCCAGGCTGGGACCAGGACGTTTCAGACGAAGCAAGCTCGACCGGCTCTCGCGCGGCATCTGGGGGCCCAGATTCACAATGATGTCTCAGGCGAAACGGGCGGGTCCAGCTCCCGCGCGGCATTTCGGAGCAGAAAAGCACAAGGATGTCTCAAGCGTACCGGGTGGACGTCAATCCCGGCCATCTCGGGAAACGGAGTTGCAAACATGCCCCAGGCGAAGCTAGCGAGACCACCTCCTGCGCGGCATCTCGGAACCCACCAGGGTTGCGAGGATGTCCCTGGCGAAACAGACCAGACCACCGCAACCCGCGGCATGTGGGAACCCAGTGCTGCGGTGATGTCTCAAAAGGGCCGAGCCACCTCGCAATCGGCAGCTGGGAGCCCAGAGTTGCAAGGATGTCTCGCCCGAGGCGGGCTGGACCAGCTCCCGCGCGGCATCAGGGCAGGACGCCCATAGCCGCGAGGATGTAAAATGGCCCCGACCACTTCGATCTGCAAGCCACCCAAGTGGCGGCCATCTCGAAAAGTAGAGCTGCGAAATCTCAAGCGAAGCAACTGGTGGCACCAGCTTTCACGCGGCATCTCGGCGCCCAAAGTTGCGAGGATGTCTCCGGCGAGACGGGCTGGACCACCCTTCGCCCGGTATCCGGGCACCCAGAGCTGCGAGGATGTCTCATGCGAAGATGCCCCGGGCGAATTTGGCCAGACCATTTAAATCTCAGCCATGGCGGACCTCAGAGTTGCGGCGGTGTTTCCGGCGAGCGACGCAGCCAGCGCAGATGGACAGACCAGGGACACAGACAAGGCAATCGAATAGGCTCCATGGCAAAGCGTGGCCAAAACACCTGGACGGACGCAAAAACACGAAACGCGATTACCAGCCAGGGCGGTTTCATATATCAGGGTCGCCCCATAATGCAACTGAGTTTCACGTATTCTTGAACACCCCGGACTCTTACAATAGGTGCGTGCGTATGCGCTTGTTACCTAACAGCGAAGACTGATAGGTTTCAAGTAGGGTCAAAACCCAGACCCCCGACGTAATGATTTTTTCGTTACGTCGACCCCCAGAGGTCCCGACCCTTTCCCCATGACCGGCTTTGCATCCTGAGTCGTTTTTTGACGCTCCCGAGGCCCGGTGAGGGCCCCAGGAGGCCGAAAATTAGGAAAAACCTCCCGTCATGATTTTTTCATTACTCGAGGGGGTCTGGGAAGAGAGCATCATGACGCCCCAGGGGTGTCTGGGCGCGATCCGGGGGAGGGTGCCGGGTATTTTTTAAATTAACACTTACACACTTCGTGGTCTTCGAGGTCCCAGAACTCCATTCCCGGGCCACATTCTGAACGCCTGGAGCCAACTGTAGGCCATTTCGTGGTCTTCGAGTTGCCAGAACTCCATTCCCAGGCCACATTTTGAATGCCCGGAGCCAACTGTAGGCCACTTCGTGGTCTTCGAATTCCCAGAACTCCATTCCTGGGCATGATTGTGAATGCCCGGAGCCAATTGTAGGCCATTTCGTGGTCTTCGAGTTCCCAGAACTCCATTCCTGGGCATGATTTTGAATGCCCGGAGCCAACTGTAGGCCACTTCGTGATCTTCGAGTTCCCAGAACTCCATTCCCGGGCCACATTTTGAATGCTGAGGCAGGCTGATGCTGAGGCTGAGGCAGGCTGAGGCTGAGGCCGAGGCTGAGGCAGACTGAGGCTGAGGCTGAGGCTGCAGGCTGAGGCTGAGGCCGAGGCAGGCTGAGGCTGAGGCTGAGGCAGGCTGATGCTGAGGCAGGCTGAGGCTGAGGCTGAGGCTGATGCAGGCTGAGGCTGAGGCACGCTGAGGATGAGGCCGAGGCTGAAGGCAGACTGAGGCTGAGGCTGAGGCTGAGGCTGAGGCAGGCTGAGGCTGAGGCAGGCTGAGGCTGAGGCTGAGAGGCTGAGGCTGAGGCTGAGGCTGAGGCAGGCTGAGGCTGAGGCTGAGGCAGGCTGAGGAGGCTGAGGCAGGCTGAGGCTGAGGCTGAGAGGCTGAGGGCTGAGGCAGGCTGAGGCTGAGGCCTGAGGCTGAGAGAGCAAGGCTGAGGCTGAGGCTGAGGCAGGCTGAGGCTGAGGCTGAGGCAGGAGGCTGAGGCTGATGCTGAGGCTGAGGCAGGCTGATGCTGAGGCAGGCTGAGGCTGAGGCTGATGCAGGCTGAGGCTGGGCAGGCTGAGGCTGAGGCCGAGGCGGAAGGCAGACTGAGGCTGAGGCTGAAGCAGGCTGAGGCTGAGGCTGAGGCTGAGGCTGAGGCTGAGGCAGGCTGAGGCTGAGGCTGAGGCAGGCTGATGAGGCTGAGGCTGAGGCTGATGGCTGAGGCTGAGGCTGATGCAGCTGAGGCTGAGGCAGGCTGAGGCTGAGGCCGAGGCTGAAGGCAGACTGAGGCTGAGGCTGAAGCAGGCTGAGGCTGAGGCTGAGGCAGGCTGAGGCTGAGGCTGAGGCTGCAGGCTGAGGCTGAGGCAGGCTGAGGCTGAGGCCGAGGCTGAGGCTGAGGCTGAGGCAGGCTGAGGCTGAGGCGAGGCTGAAGGCAGACTGAGGCTGAGGCTGAAGGCAGGCTGAGGCTGAGGCTGAGGCAGGCTGAGGCTGAGGCTGAGGCAGGCTGAGGCTGAGGCTGAGGCAGGCAGGCTGAGGCTGAGGCTGAGGCTGAAGCAGGCTGAGGCTGAGGCTGAGGCTGAGGCCGAGGCCGAGGCTGAAGGCAGACTGATGCTGAGGCTGAAGCAGGCTGAGGCTGAGGCTGAGGCAGGCTGAGGCTGAGGCTGAGGCAGGCTGAGGCTGAGGCTGAGGCTGATGCAGGCTGAGGCTGAGGCAGGCTGAGGCTGAAGGCAGACTGAGGAGGCTGAGCAGGCTGAGGCTGAGGCTGAGGCAGGCTGAGGCTGATGCAGGCTGAGGCTGAGGCTGAGGCTGAGGCCGAGGCTGAAGGCAGACTGAGGCTGAGGCTGAAGCAGGCTGAGGCTGAGGCTGAGGCAGGCTGAGGCTGAGGCAGGCTGAGGCTGAGGCTGAGGCAGGCTGAGGCTGAGGCTGTGACTGCGACTGCCGTTGCCACTGCGACTGCCATCGCGAATGCTACTACGACTGCGAGAACAGCATAATTCTACAACAGGATTCTTATATGAATCTTAAGGGGAATGCTTCCAGATATGCTCCTACACATCGCTGTTAGGTTGCTTAGCCGGGATAATTTTTCAATGGTGCCGGCTCGATGGGGCAGGGGATCCGGCTACCCCCCGATGGGAGGAGCCGTTTCGTCGAGGAGCCGAAGCGCGGGGGCATTTTGATGAGTGACTTGCGCGAGAGCGAAAGATGGCATTTCGAGGTGTTGAGCCCGATCCGCCGCCAAAGAATCCGAGGGCACAGCTTGAGGATATAGAGTAATGATGGAGTACTTCGGGAGCGCCCTTTCGACATGGAGCACTTCGGCAGCTGGTTGCTGGAGCCGGCGGAGTTCCCGTGGGAGTCCCTGGAGGCAGGGGAAGAGAGCGAAGGGGAACAAGCGAGTATGGAAACGAGGAAGGGGGGGACAATGACAGCATCGCGATGATGACGACGGTGCTGCTGATGATGGCAGCAATGAGGAGGAGGATGAGGACGAGGACGAAGGGACATGACAATCCCCCGTCGCATCCCCGCCCGCCCCCTCCTCTATCCCCCCCCCTGTCCCGCTCGCTTGCCTCCCGTCTCCCTCCCCCTTGTCCCCGCCTTCCCCTCCTCCCCCCCGCGCCCTCCGCCCGCCGCCCCCCCCGGCCCCTCTTGGGCCGCCTTGGGGCATTATTGGGCTGTTTTGGGGCCATCTGGGGGGCTTACTGGGCCGTCCTGAGGCGATTTCGGGGGTTGCTTGAGCTGTCTTGGAGCGTCGGTCAGCCGAATTCCGTTCAAAACAATGGAAAATCAAGGATTTGTGTATATTGGGGCTCTCTTGGGTGTGCTCTTGGAGGTCTCTTGGGCCATCTTGGGGCCCTCTTGGGCTGTCTCGGAGCCCTCTTGGGGGCTTACTGGGCCGTCCTGGGGCGATTTCGGGGGCTTCTTGAGCTGTCTTGGAGCGTCGGTCAGCCGAAATGGCGAGAACGCGAAAATCCTCCCAAAATCCTCGGGAATCGAGGATTTGTGTATATTGGGGCTCTCTTGGGGGTGCTCTTGGAGGTCTCGTGGGCCATCTTGGGGCCCTCTTCGGCTGTCTCGGAGCCCTCTTGGGGGCTTAATGGGCCGTCCTGGGGCGATCTCGGGAGCCTTTTGAGCCGTTTTGGAGCGTCGGTTAGCTGAAATGGCGAGGACGCGAAAATCCATTCAAAACCATTGAAAAATCAATGATTGTTGTTTTTGGGGGCTCTCTTGGGGGTGCTCTTGGAGGTCTCTTGGGCCGTCTTGGAGGTGTTTTGAGCCGTGTGGAGGCAATCTTGGGCGTCTTGGAGCGATCTGGGGCCGTCTGGAGGCTCTCTGGGGCCGTCTTGGGACTCTCTTGGGCCGGCTTGGGGCGCTCTTGGGTCGTTCCCGGGCTGTTCCAGAGGGGGAGGTCCGGCAGCAGAATAGACCTTTTCGGATGGACTTCAGGACCTTTTCGACCAGGCACTGGCGAAGGGGGCCAAATATTGCGCCAAACACTCTGTCAGAGAGGTCCCGCGCGGCCCAACCCGCCGGGCGGGAGCGGCCGGATCGAGGACGCCGGCGGCGCATCACCGGCCGCTCCCTGGGAGTTCGCCGAAATGGCGCGCAGCATCGAAAGTCGTGACGCGGCACGTATGCCAGCTATCTAGTGGCCGTCGGCCCATCCCGCGACCGTGCTTGGGTTTTGGGTCGGAGTCCTCATGGACGCTTTTTGGGGTCTTTCGACAGGGTTCTCGGGGGCCTTTGCGGAGGAGTTTAGGGGCCTCTTGGGGGCCTCCTGGGGGCTTCTCGGGGGCCTCTTGGGGCTCTCTTGGGAGCTCTTGGGGGCCTCTTGGGGCCTCATGGGGGCCTCCTGGGGGCCTCTTAAGCCCTCTTGGGGGCCTCTTGGGGCCGAAAGCTCGAAATCTCTGTTCGGGTTCCCCGTTTGGGTTCCCTCGTGGGCCGTCCCGGGGGCCTCTTGGGCCGTCCCGGGGGCCTCTGGGGGCGTCATGGTGCCCTCTTGGGCCGTCTTGGAGCCCCCTTGGGGGCCTCTCGTCTTGGGCCGATCTTGGGAGCCTCTGGGGGCGTCTTGGAGCGTGGGTGAGCCGAAATGGCGAGAACGCGAAAATCCTTCAAAAACAATTGAAAATTAACGATTTGTTGCTGATTTTTGCAAGTTGGAGTGCTCTTGGAGGCCTCTTGGGGCGTCTTGGAGGCGTTTTGGGCCGTCTGGAGGCCATCTCTGGCGTCTTGGAGCGATCTGGAATCGGCTGGGGGTTCTCTTGGACTGCTCGGAACTCGCTAGGACCGGGTTGGGGCGCTCTTGGGTCGTCCCCGTGGCGTTCCGGTCCTTGAAGCCGGGGGGGGCCAGCGGCAGAGTGGGCCCCCTTCGGAGGGACTTCCAGGGAGGTTTTCGACCAGGCGCTGGCGAATAGGGCCAAAGATTGCGCCAAACACCCTGTCAGAGAGGTCTCGCACGGACCACGCCGCACGGCGGGAGCGGCCGGGTCTTAAGGGCTTCGCCCTTTGCCGCCGGCCCACCTATTACTAGTGCGGGCGGCTGCGCGGGGATCTCCTTGGGGCTTCTTGGGGGTCTCCTTGGGGCCTCTTGGGGGTCTCCCTGGGGCCTCTTGTCTCCTTGGAGGCTTCTTGGAAACAATATTTGGGTCTCTTGGTTGTCTCCTTGGGGACTCTTGGGGGCCTCCTGGGGCCTCTTAGGACCTTCTTGGGGCCTCCTGGGGCCCTCTCGGGGCGGAAAGGTAGGGTTTGGGTCCGTGGGCTCCCTATTGGGCCTCTCTTGGGGCCGTCTTAGGGCAAACGGCGCCTCTTGGACTGTCTCGGGGCCCTCTTCGGCCGATTTCGGGGCGTCTTGGGGGCTTTTTGGGCCGTCGTGGGGGCTTCTGGGAAGCTCGTGGTCCGTCTCGGGGCGTCGGAAAACCGAAAAAGCGAGAAAGCCAAAAACCTTCGCAAACGGTAGGGGGATCCTTGATCTTTGCTTCGTAGGGCCGTCGCGGGAGGCCTTTTGCATGCCTTCTGGGCCGTCCTGGGGCCATCGCGTGGCACCTTGGAGCCATCTTGGGGCGTCTTGGCCTCCTGAGGCTTTCTTAAAAACGTCTTCGGGCAATCTTGGAGGCCTCTCGGGCCGTGCTGGCCGCGCGGTGGCGTCACTGTGGGGATCCCAGGGTGGCCCAGAGCAGCTTGTAGTTGAGGTTCACCCCCCCGCCCCGTTGGCTGTTTGGTGGCGCGGCGGGGCCCTTTATCAGACAGTAAGCAGGAGGCAGGAAACAGGACAGGAGAGACCAAAGGCCGAACAACACACGACAACACATAACACATGACAGCAAACCGCGCACACCTTCGCAGCCTTGCGCCCCCGGAGGGGTGGGCGGATATACAAGGCTGCATTGGCGCTTCGCGCCATGCACCTTTGTCCTTGCACTTTGGCGCGCAGGCGGAGAGGCAGGAAGGTCAAACAGTTGATTTAGCCATAGGTCCTTCTGTTTTTGTTCCCCGGCATCGCCGTTACGTAGCGCCCCGCAGATGCGGATAAGTGTGAGAGGGCGGTATGGGGACGTCGGCACTTTGCGAGACTCCGGAGAAGCCCGCCGCAGGCGCCAAGGTTTCACAAATTTTGCATCGAGCCCGCCGCAGGCCCCGATGTTTTCGTTAAACGAATGTGGGTATGTCGCGGGTGGGTCGTACATGGGTCGCGGGTGGGTCGTTGTTCGGTCGCGGGTGGGTCGTGGGTGTGTCGCGGGTGTAGAGGGCAGAAAATCCACGCCATAAGAATCACCCCGGCAAGCGAAGCCGTTTAGTCAACGCACGCAAGGAGTCAATCGAGCAGGGCAGGGCTGTTTAGTAAACGCCCAGGGCCTTTTAGTAAACGTCACTTGTCGGGTCCGCGTGGTTTTTCCTCCTTTGAGGGTGGGTCGTGGGGTGGGTCGGGGTGGGTCGCGGGGTGGGTCGCGGGTGGGTCGTGGGTGGGTCGCGGATGGGTCGCGGGGTGGGTCGCGGGTGGGTCGCGGGTGGGTTTCGGTGTGGGTCGCGGGTGGGTCGCGGGTTGGGTCGCGGGTGGGTTGCGGGGTGGGTCGCGGGGTGAGTCGCGGGGCGGGTCGCGGGGTGGGTCGTGGGGTGGGTCGCGGGGTGGGTCGCGGGTGGGACGACGACAACAAACAACAACAACAACAACAACAACAACAACAAGAAGAAACACAACAACAACAACAACAACAACAACAACAACAACAACAACAACAACAACAACAACAACAACAACATCAGCAGCAACAGCAACAACAATATTTCTAATACTGTTCGCTCTTACGTGCCCGCGTGTCATTCAAAACGAGTTCGCCACACCCTCGATACCCGTCCTTGTTGTCTTCGATCACATTCCCTTTTGGGGGGATTGTTTCTCTTTGCGGGGAGCGGCGGGCTTGGACAGGCGGGCAAACCTGATCGGGCGGACAATCCTTCGTGGGCGCACATGTGCCCGCCATTGGAATTGGTGTGGGCCCTGCAAAAAAGGAGGGGGAGAACGAGGGATAGTGGGAGGAAGGGAGGGGGAAGGACGAAGGAAAAGGGAAAACGCCAGGAGAGAAGGAGCGAAGAGGGGGGCGGTTGATTAGAGGCCGAGAGAGAGAGAGAGAAAAAAAAAGAAAGAGAGAGACACACAGAGAGGGAGAGAGAGATATAGAGAAAGAGAGAGAGAGGGAAACAACAACAAACATATAAGAGAGGTAGAGAGAGAGGGGGGAAGAGAGAGAGAGAGAGAGAGAGAGACAACACACATATATATATATATATATATATATATATATATATATAATAAATAAATAGAGGGGAGGAGGAGGCAGGAAAGGGGAGGGAAAAGGGAAGGGGGAAAGGAGGGAGAAGGGATGGGGCACTGAGGCATAAGGATGATGGAAGAAAGGAGGGAAAGAAAAGGGAGGAAAGGAGGGAGGAGGGGGGGAGAGGGAGGAGGAGCAGGAAGGTAAGAGCGTGAACGTTCGAGGAAGTCCTAGGCGAAAGCGCCGTTCCTGAAGGAAGTCTCGGGCGGGAGCCCACGACGGGCGGGCGATCCCCTGACGGGCGGGTCGGGCGGGTGGGGCATTCAAGCTGGATGCCTGAGTGGGGCGAGAGCGCGACTACTAAGTAAATTGTAGCGGCGTCCTTGGCGCAGCGTGTTTCCTGAGCGTCGAAAGCGCGAGAATACATTACATGGAAGTCACAGGCGAAAGCGCAACTCCTGGATACAATGTGAAGGGCTCTCTGGCGTGAGCGGGGGTC